GCGCCTGCTCGCCTGATGCCCGCCGCGGCGGTCTGGTCGTTCGGGGGAGATAAGACAAGTGGAGCTCGAGGCTGTGGGATTGTTTTTCTGTCATAGTAAACGTTTTCCCGCCGATTCACTTACCGTTTTGGATCATGCTCCCGCGGCTCTATTCCACACTCTACTCAAACGGCCGTCGCTAGCAAGGGGCTGCATCACATGGTAGCATTCGGCTCCGACATTGAGGGAGACGAAGGGAGAAAAAAAAAAAGAGGAGGCAGGCGAGGCGGCACCGCGCCGAAGAGGACCCAGCGATCTGGTTTGTCCTCTCCTCACACCCCCCTGCCCTTTTCTTTTTCTATTCCTTCCATTCCGACCCATCCCGCTCCTGTCAAGGTGACAAACGGTGATCTCCCCGGGGAAAACAGAAGGGGATCCCCCCCCCTCTCCCCAAGAAGCCAGTCGCATCACCAGGAAGACAGCCCCGAGCGGGACGCGTCCTAGCCGTGAGGGCCTTGCTTGTGGCTTGGCCGCGTCCGCAGGGCTTCGGATGGCTTTTTTTTTCTTCGGTCTTGTCGTATTTGGTATCTCGCCGAAGCTAGTGCAGGAGTCTCGAAATGCATTTGGGCGTAGTCAAACCACGGACGGCTTGGGGGAGGGAGAGGGGGAGGGAGAGGGGGCTGTCCTGATACGTTTAGGGGACCCGACTAGCACGCTTTTGTTCTCTCTACAGCCTTGGTCGTGGTACTAGGAAGAGGTGCCGGCGCAGCGAGTGGCGTTCGTATAGTTGAGGACCACGGAATGAATCAATACGAAAGCGAAGCGCAAGTCTGAAAAAACAGCCATCCTCACTCAGCCCCGTGACCAAAAAAAAAAACACACGAGATTGCTCCATGCCCAAAGGGCACGGGGGGGCGGCAGAAGGCGCCCAGGACTCGAGTCGCGTTCTGGAAGAAATCCCCTCCTAGCGGCGGGCGGCGGGCCAGACCATGCGCCGGAAGGGCTTCCGACTCCATTCGCTTTGGGCGCTTGGCCAGGGGGGTGTCCCGCTTCCCCTCTTGATGGAGGTCGCGCGTGTCCGCTCAATCAGGAAGCCCCGCCGGACATGCCCCAGGGTTGTGATCCACACAGGCAAAACGTGGCTTTGGTCCAGGAAATAAAAATAATATAAGACAAAACAAGGGCGGAAGGAGGAGACAAGAAGGATATTCGAATAAATGATAAATCATCTTGATTTTTGATTTTTTTTTTTCCTTTTACTTTTTCTGTTTATCAAGTATTTCTTTTTTCGCGTTTCCACGCCCATCAAACCCAATGCGACAAGGGCAGGGGAAAAGAGGAAACAAGAGAGGATAGAAAAATAACACTGGACGAATGAACCTGGTTCGCCAATCGCCGAGCTTTGGATTGTCATGTCTTGCAACAGGTCCAAGGTGGCCGCCTCGAACGTTGGTCGTTGGCTTCCATGTTCCTGCATGTGAATCCCGCTGTGCTGCCTTTTCCACGTGGCACCAAAACCACCAACCCGGGTGCGGCTCTGCCAGCTGCAAAGGACGAGCCTATCCTGTCCATGGCATACTGTGTGTTTATCCACGCAGGCAGGTTTCGTCTAAACCTTACTGTAGGTAAATGTCACGTCAAAAAGAGCCTTCGGATAAAAGCTCGGGAGTCAATCTGGGAATGAACCTTGGGGGTGCTAGGATTCAATGAGGAGGCGGGGGGGAGACGGTATCCGTCATGATGGGTACAAGTACAAGGGCGGGGGTAACAAATCACAAAATAATGCAAATAAAAAAAGTGGAATAAAAAATCAAATGATTAAATAAATCAACAAAATAAAAAATACATGGCTCCAAAACGAAGGCAGGTATGGCAGTCAAAACGAAGCCGTCGGCAAACAGGGGATTGATGCCCAACCGGGGGACATGACATGACAACCACCCTCTCTCTCTCCCCCACTCCTGAAAATGAACCGCCGGCCCTGACTCGTGAGAGTGTTGGAGACGGGGCTTGCCGGCACGCACATGGCACAGCACAACGCACACGCCCTTTTCGGCTTCTTTGTCTCGGCCTCGGCCAGGTTCAGTCAGGGTCGACGAGGCTGTGGGGAGAGAGGCGGCAGGGTGGGAGCAGGCTCTCTCGCGCGTATCCAAGCAGCCGGGCCCGTTCTGGAGCTCCAGCGAGTCGGGTATCTAGCCCGACGTGGATGGTGACGATTTGCCCGTCATCGGGATTTTGGGGAAGAATCGATCCTTTTCGCCTTCGCCAGTGGTCCCATAACACGCAATGTTATGAATGAGGACAGGACGCAGGCCAAGTCATTGCATAGCAACGTGTTTTCATTTGACATGTAATGTCATGTTCTTTCCCCACGACATGAGTCGCAGCGTTTGACCGGTGTAAGAAGACGGTGATAATTGCAACCGGAGCAATTTTCACGTGCGCTGGGAGTGTCACGTGCGCTGGGAGTGTCTCGTCGCGTCGCGTAAAATAGGGGATTGCAGCAACTCGGTCGAACGGACGTTGACGCGGCTCTTGCTGCGCTTTGGCCATGGGAATAAAATGCACCAAAACGGTGGTTTTGCTCCCACAAATGCGCGCTAAAATCGATACACGCATTTTTTTTTAATTCTTTTTTTTTTTTTTTTTTGGCAAAAGCGAGCCCATATTTATTATATAAGAAACAAAAAATAAAAGATTGGTTGATGGCCTGTATTACAGGCGCACCGGGAATTGAGCCCGATGCGGGGGTCGAACCCGCAACCTTGAGATTAAGAGTCTCACGCTCTACCGATTGAGCTAACCGGGCGATGGCTCCGATACGGGGAATCGAACCCCGGGCTCGGCAGGACTCGGGACTGGAAGTCGGTTGAGAGTGCCGGATGTTAGCCACTACACCATATCGGATGATCGCTTTTTGTTAACGGTGGGTTGCGGCGGTAGACTTATGAGGTGTGACTGGCCCACTTTGTGTTGCACGAGGGTTTTGCCCCCGCGTGACTCGCCCGTTGGCTGGCGGCTGACTGAGTGAGGGTGGCTGGGCAGGTCGCGCACAGCCTAGGCCTCGATTACAGAGCGTGAGCCACACACAACAACAAGCACACAGCCCGACGTTGGCAAAAGCCACGCGGCAGAGGCGCATCAGGGGTCCACACACGAGACAGCGCGCGCCCGCGGCCTCGGTTGCATATCCCCCGCTTCTCGCTCATGTGGCCAAGACGCCTTCCTTTGTCGGCGGTGGAACACCATTCGGGTCCTTTGGGTGTCGTGCCTTTGCAGCGATCCGTGATCGGCTCGGCGGGCTGCGGAGGCGAGAGAGAGGGAGGGAGAGAGAGAGAGGGAGAGGGCGGACGGCGCTTTGTGCATCCGTCCAACCGAGGCCGGGGCCACGGGTCTGTCTCGGCGCGCGGGGTAGATTGCTCGACTTCCTTTGGGGTGCATCTCGCTTAGGTGCTGCTCGTGGGAGCGTGACGGGCGTCTGGTCTGGGCCGTCTTTGTTCGCTGGGACGCCATATCCTGTGCTGGCTTGGTTTCCGCCTTGTCCTTTTTTTTTTCTCTCTCTCTTTAATTACGGCCAAACTTGGCGCCAACGTCAACCCCATGGGGTCACGGCCCGAATGTCTCAGCCCGCATAGCCACCCCGCGAAACCAGGGGTGTGCTCGACCAGGGGGGACTACCGACAGCATGGCTACCTACTGTATAAGGTGCCAAGGTACATGGCAAAAGTCTCGTCCCGACTTTCCGTCTTGCCTCGCCAACGGTGCGTGCAATTGCAACTTTACCAGGCCCCACGACCCAAGAACAGAAGCCCAGCGGTTCCAAGACACCCAAATGCGGAGGTAGCAGCCTGCAGCTCCTCTCGAAAGGGGCAAGCAGCTGGGCCCTTCACATAGGCTGCAGATGTTTGCATGCGGCAGCCAACCAGGGGTTGGTTGGTATTGTTTTTGCGCTGCGCTCGAGGCCCTCACGCACCGTAGTTCGTAGTTGCAACCTCGTGCAGCCCGAGCGGTGGCGGCAGAAGTGATAGGCTGCTCCAAGACATCAGGAGGCGTCACGCGGGCAGCGTATATTACCTGACCTAGACCTGCGATATCAGCCAGTGTGACTATGCGTGCGACTTGTTCCCTTGCCTCCCCGCATATGCTCCCCGTATATGATGACTCTCAGCTCGTAGATTCCATCTTGTGAGAACTCGGATTGGCAGCCGTCAGCAGCTGAATAAAAACAATCAGCAGGTAGAGCGAGGTCCCAGACATCTTTGTCAGCCCTGATAAGCATGGAGACGGCTCGATCCCCCCGTGAGATGGCAAATTCTACATGCATCCATTTACCTTGGCATTCCTCGCGTGCAACGCCCGAATGAGACTCCGCGCTCGCTACCTAGTATCTGCCTAATGAAAAAAAAAAAAAAAAAAGGCAAACTCGCATCGTGAGAGGCCGCTAAACGAGAGAGCGACCCCATTACCAACATGTGCGAAACAGCGGCTGCTACCGTCGCACCGGAGGGTAATGCGCATATTGCACCTCTGGCGGCACACCTCGCTGCTGCTGGCTGGGAGGGGGGGTGCCTTCGGCTGTCATCCAGACGAGCCGGTCGGCGAAAAAAAAAAAAAAGGCCAAGCGACCGTTGCGGCGGCACACTTGGCCGTACCAGAGAAGACACTTGAGGGGGAGGGAATGGGATGGGATGGGAGGC